AACCAAAAACTCCAGAAAATCAAAACTCACTTCAATGATGGTGCCAAAAATCATCTGCCATTGAAACTATATTTCAGCAAAGTCTTAAAGTTAACCATTGGGAGCAGGTAGGGATTACCTTGAAATTTCAAATATTTAGGATGAATTTACCATCCATTTAGGACGAAGTCAGTGTAACAATAACGGAAGATAAATCTTCTTGGATACTGTTGGAATCTAGGAAATCAAGAGAGGTCAAACTTTTATACAGTCTTGGCAATTACTGTATTTCCAATTTATTTGAGTGATCTTGGTTCCATTACTTTGGTCTCCTAAAGATGGCCCCGACGGACTCACTGATCAAATGGAAGCCATCCCTCGTATTTTTAAGATGACATGAAAACCTTTTTCTTTACATAACAAAGACACAGGGAAGTTCGGGTGCAGTGCTGCTAGTATGAATAAGGAATAAACATGTGCTTATGTAGTAAGGAATTTTAAGTGTTTGATATACTGTACTCAAGAGTACAATACCTACTGTATGTGCTTACCGTGCTGCATCTCTAGATCGCTTACCAGAGCAGCGTCATCTTTTTGAATGCATTTTTTGTCTTCTTACACAAAGGAACTGGACTATGTACTTCTGAACCTGTAAGTCATGTTTACTAGATTGAAAACGAGGAAAGTTAAAGCTAATCTTGACTGCTTTTCTTTTGCTCTCGGGTCGATTTGCGGAGTTAGACGGGCTTTCTTCAATCTTTGGATGCTTTTCGGCATTGTTGTTCTAAATGAGATTGTTCAGACTTTTCCTGAATTCTGTCTGCACCTCTGAATTCCGGTGTTTTCTTTCTGCTGTAATTATTATGCTTCAATGTTCGGGAGATTAAGCTTCACAGTCTTACGATGCGCAGAATCGATACCATCTGGTTGCATGGTGTTTGTAGAGAGCGAGATTCGTCGTACGATTCATGTTCAGGAGTGATGTTCACAACTTAAATACTGAATCAATCAACCTCGATTTTTCGTGCATTTTCAATACCCGAGGTGTGCGGATAGTGATGTAAGAGTTTAAATTTGCGATTGCTGTAGTTTGCATGGCATTTTTTCGCAAGCCGCGACGTTTTCTTGTTTGAACCCCGGTTTAACCTCAGATTCCATGCAATCCTTGTCTATACCTTTCCCTTTTCGCTCTATGAATGTTGTAATATGCTTCAAAATTTGTGGGATAACACTGAGCAGTATAATCCAAAAAGATTCCCTACAAAGCGTCGGTTCAGAACGTTGGAGAAGTTGCCTGTGCGAAGTGGTGCGCGGTACAACATTGGGTGAGTTCATATATACAGTACAGTACTTTACAAATATGAGGCATTATCTGCGACGGTACTCGTGGAATTGACAGCTGCGGTACAGATATCCCTGTTATACTGTACAAGAAACTGCATATTCAAATGTAACACGATACTATTTTTGGCCGGACTTGAAGAAATATTACTGCACGGATACTATCGCTAGAGGAAATCGCTGTGGATATGAATCCACCCTCATTTTTCGTGTTTCCTTGATATTTTTGTTGTAGTATATATTAAAGCAAATTCAAATACTTATGTCACCCAAGATTGAGGGAGTTGGAAGAGTCGTCAAGTCGCGTTATCCGTGCAAAGTGACTAAGAGTGAATGTTTTCTCCTGAGTAATATAGGTAATCCAAAAGGGTAGCATTTGTCTTTATAAGGACACAGCCTAATTCATATCACTATTGTGTAATTATCAAGGTGAAAGCAGCATACCGTAATTATCCGCAGTGAAATTAAATTATGAAATAATTTCAGATATAGTTAGTGACGAACGGTTTGGTGCAAGAATTTCGTTTTTGTCCCGTTTTTCATGCTCCAACAGTTTAACTGAATTGGCGCTGAAGCACGGATGATAAGGTTCTGTTGTAGGCTGCAAAATTTGGATATTTGCACTGAAAGGAGAATTTGGGATATCCGCCTACACAAGCATTTCAGGTTCATTCTTACTGGTGATGGACCGCAAATCCCATCATTATTTTCTGCGGGACCTATACAGTATCAACTTCGGCTATCCGGGCTTCGACAGCATTTCTTCAAATTTAGCTTTTGTTACAGGGAACACCTCGGCCCGTGTAATTAGTATCCAATAGTCTTGATTTTTTGCACTTCATGCCCATCTCAATAGTTTTGTACCTGTACTGAAGCACTTCGTGATTAGTTGGAATGTCATTGGTGTACGTCCAAATTATTCTTAAATTTTAAAAGTTTAATAAAATTCTTTGATATTATTGATCATGCAAGCGCATGAACGTTGTCATTAACCCGGATAATCGAAGCTGTCCCGTTATTCAAGTCGAGGAAACGCAGCTCTTCATTCAGTGTTTCATCAGGTTGTGTTGCATTTGGTCGAGCGAGCCAAAGCAGCTGAGGAACCAGTTTTCTAGGAATCTAGATCTCCGTGCAGGCCGGTCCAGGTTCTGATCAGTTTTCACGCCCTCGAGCAACGAAGGAATGCGTGCAGTAGGTCATGACTTTCGCCTCGCGGGTCGAGGTCGATGAGAAACGCGCATGTGTCGGCCATTGTCCGGACGATCAGTGTTTTCTGCTCGCTTGCACCCGCGGTGGCGTTGGTTTCATATTTTCATGATTGGATCATGAAGTGTTCGCGAGGCTGCGGCCGAGACCGGAAGCTCGGAATGGTCGATTGTTTCTCCCGGAATCGAGGGCAAATATGGCCAAGGATGGTCGAGTTTGCTGAGTGGAATGAAAGCCGTTCGTTCCGACTGCGCCGTTGAGTATTTAGCAGCGGTCATCAGGAGTCATGTTGCCACTGTGTCCGCAAGAACGTACCCTGTCTAGCGGGACTTTTCAGTCTCTTTGCAAATTGTGCCGCTGCAAAGATGGACTGAGACTGCGCCGTTGAGTATTTAGCAGCGGTCATCAGGAGTCATGTTGCCACTGTGTCCGCAAGAACGTACCCTGTCTAGCGGGACTTTTCAGTCTCTTTGCAAATTGTGCCGCTGTAAAGATGGACTGATGTTCCCAATATACCTCCCATGTTCTATATGTTCAGGGCCTTCTCTGCCCCGCATAATAACTCCTACTTACCAACCTTAGTACAGCGCATCATTGTGGTTTTTTCTAATGAAAAAAAATGAAATCGCTCAAACTGGTTACAAATTCGACCAGCTCAAGTCCACGTTTAACCTCTTAAATGCTCAGTTGTTCTTCATAGGGGCAACGTAGGGGTTCAGGAGGTCGCGACTAACTTTTCGGAAAAGTCATCTTTAGTGAGTCTACCTTTCAGAAAGGAAAAATCGTCATGAAATGATCCAAGTTAAAAAACCGATACGAAAAGTAACATAGTTAAAATTATGATACAATGAAATTTTAATTGATTGATACATTTTAATTGATACAATTGATACAATCAATTCTACACAGATGTCAAGTTAACTGTGTAGAAATTTCGATTCGCAGTGGCTTGATAAATAATCAATTCCACTTAATTTATTTTTCGAGTTACTTCATTTCTTTCTTTCGACCATTCACCGGCGGGCTTACACACTTGACAGATTATGTTCGTAATTGAGCATGTCATGCATTATTAAAAATCTATGGAATTAATTTAAGGGATTTAGTTCTTTGGTTATATTTTTTATTTTTTTTACCATGCCAGAGGTACGCTGTTATATTAGTGCGAATTTTCTGAGATTTACTGCAGTTCACTTATTCAGCTTAGCGCATGAGACGATATACACGATATACAGTACAGATTCTTAATTTGGACGGATCTTGCTGTTATCATATTCTGGATGATTTCCCTGCTTTCTTTCCGTCGCTGCTGCCGTATCAGTAGGATTTATTAAAACGCTTCCGTGTCGGCTTGATCGTTCACTGATTACTCCTTGCTGTTGAAAGCCAGAAACCAGTCAGTCTTTCAGGAAAAAAATATTTGTTCGAATTTGCGGGGAAAGTAGGCAGTATAGGAATCCCCCATTGCCGTATATGCGCATTTTCCACGTCGTGAAATTTTTGTAATGACACATTTCATTATTATGCTAATTTTCAGTATTTTCAGAGCTTGACCTCTTACGTCTTGTACCATGAGGCACAGTTACGCTTGTATCATGCCTTTCTGATGACAGATTATTTTTCTATTCATTTGCTTTTGTTGAAAGTTATCACAAGTTATCGAATCTGTTGAAAACAAGTTCATCGTAATTTGTTTGTTCACTTATTACTCCGCGTCAATTGGTATATCGGATTATACGCCTGAAACCAGTCGACCTCTCTGGTAAAATATGATCCGCATGGATGAACTACAGTTAAAGTCTTCCGACGAAAGTTTTTTGTGCTCCTTGCTCTATAAAAGTCTGGAATGCGGGTTGGCGTTTCGAATATTCGAAACTTCGAATGAGACGCGGATTGAAATTCGGGCAGCCAGTAAATTTGTATTCTGTTATTCGGAGTTGTGAAACGAAGTGGATGTTGCAAGGCCGAAATTCCGGTCGTCGTGCGCTCTCTTGCTGACGTTACTTTCGCAAGCCTTTACTGCTTCACGGTTGAAGAACCTGCTAAAGCATTCAAACTGCTTTTCTCTCGCTCAAATCCAGGTGGAATTTCCTCGTTGATAATTCGAGCATAGTGCGATAGTTTCCTCGTTAAAAAAAAACGTCTTGAACAATTTAATGTGTAAGTTCAATGACTAAAAGGTGATCCACGCGCTTGATCTTAGCTAGTTCCGCGAAGAACGGAAGAAGTCTTGGGATAGGTAAGAAATCAATTATGTACTTGGTACTGTCGAAAGAAGATAAAGTATCGTTCCAGATTCGAAATGAAATTACGGTAGGTTTATAGGTGGCTCGTGTGAGTGAAAAGCCAGCTATGCACGTGCATGATCTGGTCTAATATAGATTGAAAGGTTCATCTGTTTTCGAGATTTACCCGATGAAATATTATCGTATTTTTGGGAACATACAACTTTTCAAGGTGGGGACGGAGTCGACAAACTAATTTCAAGGTATGCTCTTCTCCAGAAAATGCCCGAAGGTGCCTTATTTTAAACTAGGGACAGGGAGCTGGATATTTTGTTGAAATTAATACCACGCTTTTCAATCTGTTGTAAAAACTGTAGACCGCATGTGGTACTTGACCAGGTGGCACAAAAGTGTGGTTCTCAGATTTTTTTTGGAGTATAAAAAAAAAATCTATACCGCCTAATCGTGGTTTTGGGATATAGAAAACAAATACTAGTCGTTTTCTAGTCATCCTAATGTACATAGAACTGCGGTACATCGTTGACTCGGTGGCCAAACGTATCAAATAAAGCAGTTTCGAGGTACTAATCTGTACAATAACTGTGATTCTATCGGAGGTGTTCATGTACAGCGTGAACCATACTGTATTTCATATTTTGAGGTACTGTGCCGGTATTTCAATCCAGAAAACGGCCTCAAATGTCAAGGCTACGATAAATGCGTAACAGCTGTTTCATCTGCTAAAAATGTGTTGATTCCACCCTTTTCAGCGTTTGTGTCGGCGTTTTGTGAAAAACAATCGTCTCGCGATTTGCCCCCATTTTAATGGCTTTTGGTGCACACCTCTCGTTTCGCTTCTCAATTATTCCTTCCAATTTGTTCACTCGTGTTAATACCCAACTTTCATTGGTCAATTCCATGCGGTATTCTTGTAGAGCATCCAAATGAGAGACCGACGCTGCTGTTGTTTACGTAAAATTCATTTATGCATTTCCAGGGCTGATTGAAGTTTTGTGCCGTTTTTTCAATTGCGCGAAAATGGGGTATGAACGAAAGAAACTGCTAGCGACGCTTTTGGCGACGCTGGCGATCCTCACAGCGCCAGTGTCGCCGTACTCCATGGGTGCGCCACCGGCTGCTGCTTGCGGTGACGGTGTCCCTCGCCACGGGCCATCTCCGCAAAAGTCGCCGGCGCCGTTTCGAATTTCCGTCAACGCCGACGAAGTGGACAGTGGCAATTCCCTGTCCGTGCAACTGGCGGCCGCGGACGACGGAGAGCCCTTCATCGGGTTTCTCTTGCAGGCGAAAAATTCAACGAATGGCGTTTTGTCTGGTCAGTTCTTGCGGGAAAACGACAACGACGTTTACCTGTTCCTCAACTGCGACGAGTTGGAGGTGAGTGCTGATGACTTTCGTTTCCGGTTTTCATTACCCGTGACGGTTTCCGCCCTTCCCCCTCAACTCTTCGTCTTACCGGTCACCTGTTATTGTTAGCTGTGGTTGGTCTTGATTATATCTTACGGATGTCTGTTCTTAAGCGACCAAAAATGTGTGATAACTTTGCTCGCAATTAGGTCGAACTACAATTCGTCATGACTAACGAATTTTGTCCAAATGTAAGTGCTGAAAACTTCTACGGTACATGCTTTGTTGTCTTGAATGTGTGCCGAGTTTCTTCTGATATTCCAACGAGCAGATTGTAAGCCTATTTATAAATCGACCTTGGCTTCGAATATTTTGGTGCTTTCCAAGTTCCCAATGTGCAAGGACGTTTTAAAATGAACGCAGGATGAGTAAGTTGCACGCGTTTGTGTTCTCTGAAATGCTATTAAAGGAGCTGTCCAGTCAAGGATTTCATGGCACAAGAGCTCCTAAAAGCATAAATTTAATTTCTGAAATTCCAAAGACGCGAAACAGTCCGTTCTACGAATGATATACAGTAGCTCTAGAAAATACTGTATCTGGAGAGATTATCCACCTATACAGTATTGATGGCAATGCCTGCGAAGAATGCATTTTAATGTCTGTTTCGTATAGCTTATTCTTCTGAACTCTTTTTGCCCTCATTTCCGCGTTTTTATGGAAATTCGTCATTTTCGTGTTCAGTCTGCGTATTCCTGCGCTGAAAAAACCAAATTACAGTAATGCTGTAATTTTGTTCGAGAAGGGATGACTAAGGTGCACATACATGTTTACCGTCAACAAATACAGAAATGTAATGCAGCACTAACTAATCGAGCGAGCTCCGACGCCGTCGGACCATAATTGACAAACAATGAACCACATTGCGCAATTTGTGCATAAGCATGTCGCGTGGCCCGCGAAATTTGACGCACCACTGCATTGAGCAATGTCGGAAACAGTGGCCGTGCTCAGAACGGTTTGAAATATTGAGTTTTCATGTTCGTGCTTACGGGTAATATAATATCTATTTTGAATGAAAGAATGATGAAGTTAAATTTTAGATTCCATATTGAATACGAAGGACTCCGAAATGCCCATTTTGTGTCCCGAAGAAATTGCCCTGAGAGATTTAAAGGGAAATCGTAGGACATAACTTTGATTGCACTGGCGGGGCAAATCTCTGTGACTGGGCTGTAAAATTTCCCTGTACAGTCCTGTAAATCATATTCATGCGCGGTTTGCCTCGAAAGTCGCCCGTTATCCTTCGTGGCAACGTTTACGCATATTTGATGCATAAAATTAGTGTTGAAGAATTTTTTAAAGCTCGAACACGCAGACGCTGGTAGAACTTTCCCCCGTCAATTTTACACCCAGCAAGTCCATTCCCGCTCAACCTCGGAATTAAATTTTTATTTATTTTGGAAAATAGGGATTGCAAACGACGACGAAGAGAGTCGCTTGATATAGGTGTTGACGCCACATAACGACTCCTAAGCGTATCCCTCCAAGAGCTCATTACGTTCACTTCATGGATTTCCTCTATCTTGAAACCGTTCGAGTGAACTTCAGATTGTCTCGCATGATAGCCGTGTGCTCGAGCTGCAGTATCTTATACCCGAGCTCACGAGTTGACGGTTCTCGTGACTGTATTTTGAGTTCCTTTGTTGGTCTCGATGTAGCAAAAGACGACCTCTCACCATAGCAAATTGATTCGAGCACCTTGTGACTGAGGGGGTTTTCTTCCGTATGGAAAATTTTGCGGACTTGCGGAAAGCCTGAAGCTTACTAAAAACAAAACGCTTACCCTTGCCCTCAAGTAAGCCACATGTTATTGCACTTGGCAACATCACTTGTGCCTCCACTACTCGAACTTGGCCTTGGTTCTCTTCCAGCAGTTCCAGGCAGGATGGTTGAAGTACTGGACTACTCGAACTCGTCGCAATTGTGCATGTGGAGAAGATAAGCTTCCCTAATGGTTAGCCGACTCAGTTGGGCGCGTCTTGAAACAGCGTGTCCTATTAAAGTGCGTGCTAAAAATAGAATAAGTACGAAAAATAAAAATAAACTTCGTCAAGGCAACGATCAAGGAACATCGCTTGCGCAGGATACTTATGCGATGCGACACAATTCTGATGAAATTGTTGGGAAACTTGAGATTTTTTATGTGGAGCTTTTGAACAGGATGATTCTGGGGGAGTACAGTGCATTGAAGTTCTTATTGCATAATGTTCGGTTGGTACGTTCACATCCCAGACAACACATGAACGAAGAAGCATTTGCAGAAAACGGCAGGAATTTTTAGGATCACTCGTGCTGTCTGTTGAGAATAAGGTTACCCTTTTTCCTGTGTGGAGTAATTTATGTGCATGAAGAAAAAAGAAGCTTCCTAACGAATGACATGCATAGAACGAAATAATCTTGTGTAATGTTCTACGGAATTCTCTCCGTAATGATCATTTCTGATAATCCTGACTATATTGGCCGAAAGCCTTTTTGCGCATGGTGGAATATCACGGATGGTCGAATATTACATAGTACAGTATTCTAAAAACAGGTAAACAAATTCAACGATTAACTGACGTAATAGAATTTTGAAGATGAAAATCTTGACATGAATTAGTCTGCATCAGTTCAGATAATCATTCAATCAGAAGGAATTGAAACAGCTCGCTTTGCTTTTTTGTTTTTGACTTACATACTGTAATATCAAAATTCGGGTACGGTTGAGCCAAGGCCGTGTTAACTTCAATATTGAACTTTCTTTGCAATTTGAACCACGTTCTATTTCAGGACGTGTCGTTTTGTGACCGGGCAGCTAATTTATAAACACGATAGGATTCTGCATGTAGTACAGTATTCAGTACTGTAATTGCAAAAGCTACCCTTGATAAATGTAAGTCTCGATACAGACGACGCGTGCGTGCAGAATCCATTCCATCCCGACAATATATACCGGCGAGCCCTTGAGATGGACGGTTGTCTCCTGGTTGAGTTCAGGAATCTTTTAAGGGTGAGAATCACATGAGAACCAAGTACTGGATCTGCCGGGAACGCGTCTTGGCGGTGTATGTGTTTGGTATCCGGGTCCGAGATATGGCTGCCTGTGTTTTCTAGGGTTGGGCTGGTGTTCTTCTTCCCACGGATATCTTCATGTTGCAGGACTTCGAGATGAGACTGTTTCCTTGCGTTTTCCGAGTGGGTGTCCATTTTCGCACGAAGATGGATACAACGGTTTTCGTGGATCTGGAGTCATTGAGAGAGTTGATATTTTTTTAATCGCTGCAAACCAATAGAACAGACACTTCATCAAGTAAATTATTGTGCTAGGTTACCCTATATACTCACCCACTATTAAATGCTTGAAGCATGAACATTTCGAGAAAATTTGAACAAATAATGTGTGTCCCAGGAAGGTCGAACAGATCGTAAAATGAATGAAAAAATGATCTCATACTGCGGCAACGTTTTTCGCGCTGGGACCGGGATGTTAAACCATTCATTCTTATTTGGGCAAATCACAGTTCGTTTCATTCACATAAATCTAATTACAACATCGACGCAATATTCGTTGTTCTGAGGATGCCACTAATTTCCAAAAATCCGTCTCTTATTGTGGTTGTCTGGAAGCTGTCTGATGCTACGATTCTCCCCCTCCGTTCTTCAACTTCTGTCTCGCCCTCCTTAGACATGAAATTTTCGAATACGTTCATAACCCCTCGTATTATTGGAATAAGCTCATTCCGGGTGCATGGCATCGGCCGGAAAGCGATTACATATGGAACTAATGGAAGAATGCTTCCTGAATGATCATTTTTAAAATTTTTTTTTATGCATGTTCCTGTCCATTCAGACAAAAATTCTGTTGGGACGATCTGCGATTAACGAACCTTGTCAACAAATTATTAAGTTTGCTGAATCGAATATATGCTTCCATCGATGGTGTTCCTTTCACAAAGCTTCGTATACAAACTCCGCTCTCCCAAATGATAACGGCCTCTGTTACGTTCAAAGATATTTTTCCGAAGTTTTTCAAAATTCTGTTCGAAAGTTGGAGTTTGAAGAGAGTTCACATTGATTCTGAAGTCCCCCCCCCCCTAGATTTACTTGTATTTGTTTGATGGCGATAGATTGTATTTATTCCAGTCCAACCTCTTGCGTTTACTGAGCAACCTTTTTTTTTCTCTAAGAGTTGCTTGATTAGTTGATCGAGAAAGCGGAGCCAGCTTTATTGGAGGAGCTCCGAATTACTTGATCGTTCATCACGGTGGAATTGATTCCGTGTTTGCAGAGCCACGTAGGTAGCGTATTTACAGGTCGAGTGGGTGTTCGTTGATCGAGTGAACAAGGTGCTGCAATAGGCTTTGAAGCCAGTGATGGGTTGATGGCTTATTTATTCTGGGATTCGAACAACTTCATGAGCAAATAATCTTCAGCCACTGGCAATCAATGCATGTCTAGCGTGACTGGCGAGTTTTCACGCTTTTCGACCTAGGCGTTTTTCGAAGTCACGATTTCTTCGTCCTTGTTATTTTTATTTTTATTTATCGTGTTATTTAGAAAAAGAAAGCGCAAGGACGGGATTCACGGAGGGATGTTGTGAACTTGATGCTTTTTGGTTGCCACTTTCGACTGTGCGTCGCTCGCTTTTCGGCTTTGATGCTTCGCCCGATTGCGCATGTTCGCGTCCTTGTTGACTGCTTGGGTAGGTTGCTTCCGACGGATGCGGTATTTCCCAGGTGTTCGTTGCTCCGTTTACCTTGTAATATTTCGTGCTGTTATTCCCACAAGAAGCTGAACGACAGCATGTTCGCGTCCTTGTTGACTGCTTGGGTAGGTTGCTTCCGACGGATGCGGTATTTCCCAGGTGTTCGTTGCTCCGTTTACCTTTTAATATTTCGTGCTGTTATTCCCACAAGAAGCTGAACGACATGCACTGAATGCATACTATGCTTAAAAGCTCGCGCATTTGTCTTGAGCGCCGTTCTTTTGCCAGGGAGATCATGAATTGACCGAACTCCTGACACCGTCATGCACTATAACAGCATAAACTATTAATGTGTATCGTAACTTTAACTAAACGTAATTTTCTTGATTTTTAACCAACTAATTCTAGCTTTTTATAAACATTGCAACCTCGTGAATAATTGAACAAACTCTTGATGCATATTTGATGATTTTGTGTCAAATGTGACGTAGAATATTGTAGAGTACTTTCATTTCACAGCATTAGCAACATCATGATAGAAGAAAATGTGATGAATTTGCCGTTAGTTTCAGGGCAAATGATTCACCTCTTCTGATAAATGCATCACGTGTTCGCGTAGTGTTTTTGATTTGGAAATTCCGCTTCCCAAAGAAACGCTGGCCACTGCTTGCATTTATTTTTTTCAAGGAGCATGTTGTACATGCCTCCATTGTAAATCATGATGCACTTCGATTGTTTGATCGTATTCTTTATTTTTTATTTTCTTTGCAGGACGCTGTGACGCACTCGAATAAGCGGGAAAAGCGCCGAGTTTCTGTGCGTTGGAAGGCGCCTATCGGATCATCCGGCGAAGTTTCGTTTAGGTGAGTTTTGAATGCCATGTCTGCAGATTTCAGGTCGCATTATTTATGCAAGAAAGCGTCAATATGGTCTGCATTATTTTCCTTGCCGGAGTTTCAATTCAGCACTTCGTACGAATTTTCGGAAAATTGTTTCAATTTCATAAGGGCATCTTTGAGAGTGCCTGGAGTATGCTACTGTACTGTAATAGGAAATCGATTCAGATTCTTTTTGTTTCCTAACAAGATCTCGTGGAAATTGAGAAAATTTTGTCCAGCCATATCAATTTCATAAGGGCATCTTTGAGAGTGCCTGGAGTATGCTACTGTACTGTAATAGGAAATCGATTCAGATTCTTTTTGTTTCGTAACAAGATCTCGTGGAAATTGAGAAAATTTTGTCCAGCCATCGGGAGACTAGTATCTTCTAAAGGAATAGATCTTCGAAGCGTGCGGTGCCTGTACCGACATTTCAATTATATTGTCTGATGTATGTCCACAATTGCGAAAGTCGATTCCGTCTTGAAATATTGCCTTTATAAAGCAACGCTTGCCAAAAACAGAACTATAGTTCCAAGCATCACACTGAGGCGGAATGGTTTCCATGATATCAAGCTCAGACCTGCTCTTTTCTTTGAAGAAGTCTCACTGCCTAACGATGATGCACTTCAGTTACGCTAGTCTTGAAAGTTCGTGTGAACGATATATCCGTCTGGATGAGGTGACCAGCAGGAAGTACGAACATTCTTCGAGGATTTTCAATTTGTTTCTTACACAACAAAACATTAAAATACTGTTCGGGAACTCCCCTTTTACATGATCACATAAAAAAACGACGAAGCACTTTCCATCCTTCAGTCACAGAACGTGAGAGCATGAAAAAATGAGAAGACCACGAACTCAAAATAGCTAAAGACGTCAAAAACTTCGTTGTAATTTCGTGGACACGTGCCGTTTTGAATAAGAGCTGTTTTTCTACACGCTCAAATGTCACTGCCGCTGCATGGCGACCTCGTAATTAACTCTGAGATATATTTCCAAATGATTGAAAAAATAAAATAAAAATGCGTTGAAGTTGATGACGAGGGAGAAGCACGGTTGTTGGCTCGCGGTTTGCTCGCTCGTCTGCGGGCAGGGTTTCGAAAGTTTCTTACGTGGCGTTCGTTGCTCTGGTCCGAGGACGTCATAAAAAGAGTCCGTCCTTAATTCGAAGCGGTGAGGTGAAAGTGGAATCAGTATCAGTCGAACGGGAACATGAGTCTCTGGGTAGTTTCACGACACATCATTGCGAATGGCTTGTGCGAGAGAGGGGGAAACACATTTTGCGTGTTATATCCCTCTTTGATTTGTGACTACTGAATAATTTATTCTCGTCATCTCTTCCCCTGACTTTCTGAAGCGAGACTGGAGGATGATCTTGTTTGATCCAGATCACTGCTTGCATCACGGATCGGGGATGAACAACTTTTTAGATTATCACTTGTCTCACGCCTGTTTTCTTCAATGTGACTCTGGGTACTCAGGCGTATTTGTCTTCACGATTATTGTGGAAACCATTTTTGCTCGCAGAGCTTTGATAAGCGATAAATTCTGCGATGATGTTCCCGGAAATGGATGTAGTATCTGTGCTGAATGATCTGCGGGGTTTCTGCCCACATCAGTGAAGGAAGCGGGAATGAATCCTTTCTCATAGTGACTGGTGATGAGCTCCTGGTCAAAAAACGACAGAAATCACACACTACAGAAAACATCCAGGACAGATAGCTTTTGTGGATCACCCTATTTTATTGCCTTGAAACTTATCTCTATTATTGCAAGGCTTTTCAAGAACCGTACGTAAACTGTAGGAGAACTTTTCCACGTCGTGAATGATCTTCATATGGGAGATAATAGGATATTAACTCTTTGTAATTAATTTACGACGTGTATAAAAAGCACTACACCTTCAATTGGGGAGGGCTTATAAAAAACATACTGGTACGTTACGGCCTCTTCTTTCTTATAAAAGTTCTCTCACTTTAAAATTCCAGAAAAATAATTTTCTTGGTTGGTTCTTTCCTTCAATTTTTTGGTTGCTCGCCCGTATGTGCTTTCCTCCCTATTTTTTCTGGCATCCGTGTTTTTCCCTGACGCTCTGGTCGTTGCTTGTGTTGGCTGGCTTGAGTTTTCCTAGGTACTGTAATTAGTTCAATATTCCGCTTGCGGCAAAATCTGTGGTGAAAGGAGTTCATGCCTTCGCTGATGCACTTCGTGATATCGTTTCAAACTTTTCATAGCTTGTACTGTACATGAGTGTCCGCAGATTATTTCAGTCCGTGCACCGCTTCAGAATATCACGCCGAAGTCGTGGAAACTGTTCCTGATGTAATGGGAAGAAGCTTTGTTACGTGTGAAATTCTTTTTTTTTTTCTTTTTTTTAAACGTAGGATAACTTCATCGACCTCGCGATCGCGAAGTGTCATATTAACCTGGGAAACCGCGGTCGTTCCCGCGATATGATCTCGGGCTTTATGACGACCCCGTGGCTCGGAAACGGCGTAAATGCCTTAATTGCAATTTTTCTCTGCAACCGCGCCCTAAAAAGAAACCGGAAACGGGTTTGAAACGCACCGTTCCCAATATACACGTGCGATTTCATGGCCGAGGACGAACGTGATCCCTCGGCGTGATGAATTGCCCGAAATGTCGCCTTAGGTCGACGGTAATGAACGGTGTTTTTTAATTTGTACTTCCGTCCTCATCAACGCCTTGTTCGTCACCATGGGTCATTCACGATAGTTGATGTCTTGAGTCGGGTTGCAGCCAACCGCGTGAATGATTAACCTCGTCGAATTGCCTTTGATAGATTTTCCGGGGACGCGCATTATTGGTAATATTGTTTTACACGGCTGTGATTGACTCATTTGCCATAAATATTTTTGTAGTGGAATCAGCCCCAGCATTTATCAAGCTGTGCGAAGCGTGGATTATCATGTTGATTTAGGGTGACAACATTCCTTTAGCCTTTATTTGAATGATCCTGTCAATGTCTTCCGGCTTCCGAATGTGTATACCGAAAATTTTAGGAGACGATAATTACTCGACACATGCATTAAATTATCTTTGAAGGCCAGCTTTCTTGAAAGACGGAATTCCACGAACGAAAACGTTGTTATTCTGAATGGAATGTTAGGAATAGAAGGAGCCTCATAATTACCTGGTGTAGACAAATTGCGTACATCACCCAACTCGCATAGCAAAAATTTTTCCGGGGAACCTCACAGATAGTGGCAATAAATGGAATAATGTGTCCACGTTAGAATCACACCTTAACAAATTCTGTGATCTTGAATGAGCCAGACAAGAAATTCGACGAAAGGACTCCGTTCCATGATGCTGTACTTCGTGTCTATCAGAATACCCCAATCGGATACAGTATTTAACGGGTGGCCGTCAGAACAAGTACTATACTGTAATGTAAATTTAAAAAGTAGACCAATATCATCTCCGTGATCAGAAATCGTTGGTTTTCTAATACAGTTCACAATTCTGTTCAAAGTCTGCAGGGAAAGCAGTCTGACGGTGAAGATTTTTGTCGATATTATTCATGCACATTATACCTGTATGCAATACTTTACAATGGTACAGTGTATACAGTATACAAGTGGAGTACAGTACTGTATATTGATTCTCAAGTCCGTCGAATGACCTGAGAATATCGGATTTTGACAGAATATATGTTGAATTAGCCTCATGGGAGCGATGGAGTTGAAGTAATTACATGTTTGCTCAGTTTTGTTCCTCTGTTATCATTTCTAGAGCTTACAACAGTTGCGAGGTTGTCGCACTTCCTGAGTTTGTGCGGCCCCTCATGAGGTTTTGTTGCGCGATTTGTCGCGTATCCAAGGACGAATCCTTTTTTGGGAATGGGCGGTAAAGAAAGTCTGCTGGTAGATTTAAATCATGAACTTTTTGACGAAACGTCTTTTCGTCAGTTGAAGATAGAAACGTACATAGTGTACTGTGCAACCCTGGTTCTTGTGCGCGTCGTGGACAGAGGCGCGTCACATAGTTTTATTGCTACCCATTTGCGCTATACTTATAACAGTACGAACTGCCTTTTACTGAACGTAATGACATGAACTTTGTTAAAAAACTTTAAGTGGCTTATGACATAGGCGTAAGGCTTAGCTGACTAGGAAGTAATTCTTGGAGGCATTTATACCATAATTAATTTCGCAATGTTGTACATATCATGTTAACGATGAACAAGAAGTACAGTTCAGTGCAGTATCTCGAAAACTTTCCGATTCAGCATTTGTATTTGAAAATTCCTATGTATGTATTCATTGAAATCCAAGAAATGCGTAGGTTGAAAAGCGTGCATCCGCGAAGGACGGATATTTTATTCCAACTAAAATAATTCAGTGCAGATGGTCGAACATCTTCTCGAGGTTTGAAAATTAATTTCAACTCCCATTGAGCTGATAAGTTAGCACGAAAAGATCCATCTTCGTTATTTCCATGGAAGTCTGGCTTTCTAAGATTCTAAAAACTTCTGCATACGCATGAAACACTGCATTTCGTAATTCTGGGCGACTCTCTCCGATCAAACTGTACTGATTAAAAGAAGAAGAAAAAAAACGCTATGCAGTATAATATTGTACAGTAGTGAGAATCCAGTAAGTTATGCAGGACGAGAGTTCTGTTAAAAGAAAAAGGTGATTCTGATGATGGAAAATAATTCGTTAGTGTATTACTGATTCATTCCACTGTTTTAGAATTTCGTTTGAAATCCAACCTCGGTATTCGGAACAAAAAGGGAAATGAACCTGAATAACGCAAATGTGTACATGAGTCAGATACGTGTACCGTACCACACATTGAGTGGACTGTTAGAGAAACTTTTTCTTCCGTAAGCAACGAACATCTTTTAGCGAAACTTGAAAATTTGTTTCCTATAGAGATAACCTCATCTTAAAGTAAACTTTAGACCGGAGCGCCTTTAAAGACTTTCAATTCCGGAAGTGGGGTGGAAAAGTTCCTCTCGTCGACCGAAGGTACCTTGCTGTTGAGATGACCTCTCGGAATTCATGGGGCGTAATTATTTTTTATCCTCCCTCTCGCAGTCCGTCTGTCCGGTGAAGCAATCCAAACGCTTTTTCTCCATCCTCACACCGATGCCGCGGCATCGAGGTCCTCGCCGTCGTGACCCGTCTTTCCTTCCCTATTTTGGTTTTGAGGTCAACTCGAATTCTGGTTGGTAGTGGAGCGAGAGTCGCCC